GGGCGGTTCTTGCCAGCTTTTTTCGGGGTTCGTCCTCCACTAGTTATACTGTACGCCATGTATAGTCTATTTTTCACTGGAAAATGTAGTTAAACCTTCAATAACAATAACTTCCAAGTTGACGTTTTCTTTTCTTGTTTATATCCTTTCTTTTTTAGCTTCATTGACAATTAGACAGCGACGCTTTCAATATAGAGATAAGACCTATATTTGTTTTTATAGCCAGTGTTCTGTTTATTCTCAACAGCTGAAAAATACTGGGAACATACACAGCAGCCGCATTGGGATATGCTTTCCTTCATTACGAGCAAGTCAAATTTTATGACTTATTTGTGGCAGAGAAATTCCCAAATTGCTTTGGATTTTTTTTTTTTTTCAAACATAAACACACTAGAGAAGATTCTTTTACTTAACTTGAACAAATAATTTGCATCACGAATCCATTTTCTCATCTTGCTTTAGCGTGCAGATGAGTTCTCCTCCATTTGCCGGCGAACTTTTTCCTTTTAATTACATAAGTGAGCTTTGGATGATTTATTGCCTTAAATTAAATTTTAAATATTCAAATATTTTGGATTTACAAATCAAGTTTTAATTTATTTAGATCATTAGTTTTATCCTGAAACAATAAAAACTATAAATCTAATATCTGTAAATAATAATCACTTCACCTCACCTCACCTCACCACCTGCCACGATGGCGACTGCTAAATATGTGTTGCTTTAATGTTTTGTTGTCTTTTGTTCCATCAAGTGTCCTACTGTTTAATTCCTATCCTTCTTGTTCTAGTAAGGCATAATCTGCATCGCAGCATGCGTTTAGTCCTAAATTGGTACTGCAGTTTAAATTGGTGCTGTTGAATTTAACTTAACTGCAGTTTAAATTGGTGCTGTTGTATTTAACTTAACTGCAGTTTAAATTGATGCTGTTGTATTTAACTTAACTGCAGTTTCAATTTTAATCTGCAGTTGTAAGTTGCACAGCCTCTATTCCGTTCCTCAGATGATCATAACCTGTGTTTATTACTTGTCTAAATACTGAATTACTGCCGTTTTAAATTGATTTTGTTTCCTTTGATTTTAAGTTACGCACTATGTATTTTGAACTTTGTTTTGCATCTATGTATTATGCTGTGTTTTGTCCAATTGTATCTATGTATAATGCTGAGTTTTATTTCCCATTGTTTCTATGTATTTTGCTCTGTTTGTATATCCTATTGTATCTATGTATTATACTGTGTATGTCACATTGTGTGTGTCTATATATATATATATATATATATATATATATATATATATATATATATATATATATATATATATATATATATATATATATATATATATATATATATATATATATATATATATATATATATATATTATGATGTGTTGGTATATCCCATTATATCTATTTATTATGTTGTTTTACTTTGTATGTCACATTGTATATATGTATTATTTTGTGTTTTGTCCAATTGTATCTACGTAATATGCTGTGTTTATATATTCCATTGCATCTATCTATGTATTATGCTGAATTTGTATGTCACATTGTATATATGTATTATGCTGTTTTTATGTACCATTATGTTGTTACCAAACAATATTTGAATTATTTGTGTGCAAAATTTGAATTCATTTTATGTCATTTTTGTATCATTGTGTTTTATTGTAATAATGATTATTGTTCACGGGAACTGTTCTTTTAGTAAGAGTTTGTTTATTTAGAATGTAAATATGTTCTTCGGCTTTCGTAAGAGTTTTGTTTATTTAGAGAGTAAATGATTCTAGGCTTTCGTAAGAGTTGTTTATACAGCCGGTTTTCATAATAAAAAAAAAACCGACGGAAATGAATGGCTGCGGCCACGGTCTTTTCTTGGTATATGTGTTTATATCATGCACTACGCATTGTCGGATGGTGAAATACCACGCTTCATTTGTGCGCGTGCTGTATGTAATGCGGTCTCAGTTTAGTTTAAATAGACTTAGGTCCATGTGAAATAGTCAGTCAAACAACATATTTGCTGTGTCGTAGTCGATTGTATATTATGCATTGAGAAGAATATATCATATGTCTTGTGCTGGAGTGAGTAGTATAATATGCCATGAAGAAGAATGGTATATTTTTCTTGTTCCAGAAAAAAGTTAAATCTTCATTATATCTATAAAGCTTTATATGTGCCATGACAGTTATAGGAGTTCATATACCTTTTGAATAATAATTTATTCCATGGAGAGCTATAAAAGTGGTTTAGGATAAAAACATTCATTGAAATTTATTCTAAATTGGAACAAGTCAGTAAAAATTGTTGTTCAACGTGAACTTATGAACATTTGTGTAAAGACTTCATCTGACGTCATCATCCTCTATCTTGGAAACAACGTGACTTTCCAGCAAGACTCCGAACATTTTATTAATAGAAATATTCTAGGATATTTGTTTTGGATTTTTATTCACAAACCGTAAGTCGTATTTTATAATTTTCACCTTTTTGTCGTGTTTTCTATGGAAATAAAATTATCTTTGTTAAAACTTACAAAGCTTGCTGTCTCTACTATTTTCGTCTCTTACTTTGAACGAGCCGATACGTAACAGTATATATGTATTATGCTGTGTTTCGTATGTCCCATTGTATCTATGTATTATGCTGTGTTGTTATGTCCCATTGTATCTATGTACTATGTTGTGTTTTGTCCCATTGTATCTTTGTATCATACTGTGTTTTGTTCCATTATATCTATGTGGTATGCTGTGTTTGTACGTCTTCTTGTATCTAAGTATTATTCTTTGTGCCAGTGGCGTCACTAGGGTTGGTGTCACCCAGTGCAGTAACTCAGGGTTTCACCCCCCTGGACAAAAATTCAAAAATTGTATAGACAGTCACGTGCGGTAACTCATGGTGTCAACCGCCATGGTCCCACTTTCTGCACAAAAATTCAAAACTTTTATGGACAGTCATATGCGGTAACTCATGCTGTCACACACAGACACACACACCTCCTTCCTGCACAAAAATTCAAATTTTTTATCGACACTCATTTTGGTGTTAACCCGACCCCACCCCACCCCACCCTCGATGATGTCACATGTTGCGGTTCTCCCCTCCCCACCCCACCCCCAAGCGCCCCTGAGTGACGCAACTGCTGTGTCCAATTCATGCTGATCAAAAGAGTTTTACTGTTGTTGTTGTTGTTGGGCTTAACGCCATTTTCTGCACATGATAGGCTATTCATGGCGGCCAGTATTAATGGTGGAGGAAGAAACCGGGAAATCACCGGAAAGAACCACCGACCCACGAGAAGCTACTGGCAAGCTTTCTCACATATCCACAATCGCCGAATCCTAGACTCGAACCCACGCAGACAGAGGTGAGATGGCAGTGATCCGTAACGGACAGCGCTTTAGACCACTCGGCCACTCGGGGCCCTTTGAGTTTTATTGTTGTTTTTTTTATATATCATGTTGGTAAAAGCTCATTATACTTGATGTTAAATTCTTGTTCTAAATCATGCCGAATTTACATAAATCTTTTATTATATCTGACTAATCGCAGCTCACTGCCATGACTCCAAAGGGATGTAACACATTATGAGAAGTATACATACCATCGAAGTATTTCCAAAATGAAAAGGAGAGGCTCTGTTGATCTTTTACGGCTCTTTGATTTTTAAATGTTCTTCCATGAGATTTTAATGAAAGATAAAATCAGGATGTGTGTCCCGTACTTGGACCGAAAGGCGGAGTGGCAGGGGAAGTTTTACAGCTATTTGGAAATATATAAAAATCTAAAATTGTCTTTTCTTTTTTTTTTTTTTTTTTGATCGGTAGCGCTACCAGTGAAGTCACAAAGAAAATAAAAAGTGGGGATCTTCTTGTTAGTCAGCACAATAGGCATGTCATCTATTCTCCATAATGAAAGATCAGACATTTTGAAGGGCTAAAATTATGAACTTACTTAGATTTCGGAATTACATACAATTGACGACGTTTTATTAACAGAAGGAATGTTTTTGCATGAAACAAATCCTTGCTCTGGCTTTATAATCTAAATTCTTGTCGATTTTCGTCTTTGAAGCCGAAAGATTTTACCAGAATATATGTATTTTTGATTGGTAAAATAAAAATGAAGCCCGTCATGTTATCCTGAAAAAATTTAAACCACTGGGGTTCGTTACAAAGAAAACACAATTCGTTCAGTTTGTATAGATTGGAGAAAATGCAACAATTGTTCACCGATTTTTTACGTCTGGACAAATCCGGCAGTGCCTTTTGTATTCGGATGCTGTATCACTCTTGACCGAAAGGTAAGATCCGAACAACCTCGAGTCCGCAGTAAATATTTAAAAACAAGCAGACGATAATAAGGAAATAAATGGATAATAAATATTGACATTATTTTCAAATAGGTCTGTTTCAGGGGTTAACATTACAATATGCAACAATGTAACCAGCAATCAGCACCAAATTTACCAAAATCATTATTTGTTTTTTGCAACTAATATTAAAACGCATCACAATAGACATTTTAGATATTTGCTGCAGACTCGAGGTTGTTCAGATCTTATATTTTGGTCAATTGTGAAATCCAAGAGTATCCGAATGTAAACGGCACTAGTCTTGTCTCCTGCTTAGTATGCTCTCTGCGTTGCACTCCGCTATATACTCCGCTATACTAGTACTCCGCTATACTAGTATAGCAGAGTGCAACCCAGGGAGCATACTAAGCAGGGGACCAGACTAAACGGCACTGCACGACTTGTACTTGTCCCGGTGTACTTGGAACTAGCGAGGAGTGCGGACTCGTGTCTTCCCTTGTGTTATATAGTTACGGTTCGCCTCCCCCCCTTGATTCATGGACATATACTCCTAATTTTCTTTGTATTGCAATTGTTTTTATTCCTACAGCATACGCAATGTTGCGTTACTGAGAAAGGGTGGGTGAGGTAGATGCTTCTTTTGTATATAATATTATGCAACATTGTTCTTCAACTGCCCGGTTAGCTCAGTCGGTAGAGCACGGGACTCTTAATCCCGGGGTCGTGGGTTCGGGCGTCAATGTTTTTACTTTTCCATTGTCGCCTTTCGCACTGAACGTTCGTATGTCCCATTATATATATATATATATATATATATATATATATATATATATATATATATATATATATATATAATGCAAACAATATTTTTATGAATGAACTAAAGCAGATATTTCATGGAGGGCCACATACCAGCAAATGTTTCATAGACTGACACTTACAAACTGCTTTGGCACATTCCGCGTTTACTTTTTTTGATACAATGTTTCAGATTTAGCTATATAAAGACGCTATACAGGGTTCTCACAATAAAACGCAAGTTATAAAAAAAAAAACTTTTTTCTTTAGCTGTTAATAAAAATGGCCAAAAATATACTTACAATTTTACATCCTGAATTTCCTCAAAAAATATACTTTCGCAATTCTGTAAATCTGAATTAGATGAGCCATGTCATTGGTCCTCAAGGTTGATTACACATTTTGAAATTTTATTGTAATTTCGAGTATATTCCAAGTGCAGTTACATCATCCTTACTGCACTCAAAATGAAAAAAAAAACATTAAATTCCACAGCATCTTTTCGATAATTGCAATGAAAAGGCTTCATAATTTTCCCACATTATGATCTGAATCATTCAATGACAGAAAAGAAACACGTATACCGATGTCAACGCAATTCAAAACGATTAAATTGGCAGACGCTGATGGAATCCGATGCAAGTCACTTCATGTAGATAAATCCAGACCATAATCAAAAGATTGCGTTGAACCGACAAAAATACCAAAACGTATTCATTCCAGATCAAATGGAAAAGTTGTTGCAATGCATATTTATTAACAGTATTACTCCAAATTTTAATTTTAAGTAGATCAAATGCCATTTTCAAGCAAAATTACGTCGAGCGCGCGACTAACTTCATAGGTCGTATCCATCAGAAAAACTCGTCCATATTTTCCCGTACAAATGCAGTAACTAATAAATATATAATTGGTTGGGTTGGGAATCCAGGCACTTTTCCACGTCAGTGCTTAGTTACAACTGTCGAGGTGAAAACAAGCGACACATTGTTCTAGTGACGAGCAAAGTGTGTGAGACAGTTTTACAACATTTTTAGATATGCATAATATTTGCAGTGTTGGTGGGTGCACAAACCATCATATGCAAAAGAAAAATTTGTCGTTTTTCAAGTTTAAGATTAACTGTCCAGACCGAGATACTATTTTAAATACTTTTTTCGATGTTTTCAAAATGCACTTTCTGCGCTTGACGAATATAATTAACTGCTTTGAAATCTTCATTGAGAACCCAAAAGTGTACAAAACTAAAGCCGTGCGCTACATTAGCTACAACCTCCCCCACCCCAAGAAACAACACACAACAGTGATGTTTCTTGTTGCATTTAATCCTTTGAGAACAGTTGTGTTTTTATCCAAGGCATGGAGAGAATATCAACAATTCCAGGCTTGTAAGGCTGAAACAATGGGCGTATCGGGTGGTTTCTGATATTGAAATATCATGCAAATCAGGATACATCGATATCAACAGAGCGTTTAATTACCCTGGGGATCAGATTTTGGCAGACAGGATTTTACTCTTCAAGAAGACAAGGCAACTGAATGTTCTGCAGAGTTGATCTTGCCAGCATTTACAAAGGGAAAAAACAGCTTTCTGTCCGTAAAGTGGAACAATCTTGTAACTATCATCAGTTAGAATTCAGAGAGAGAGAGAGAGAGAGAGAGAGAGAGAGAGAGAGAGAGAGAGAGAGAGAGAGAGAGAGAGAGAGAGAGAGAGAGAGGATTACTGAAGTCAATATTTGTTAATTCAATTAAGTCAGAAGCACATAATGACATGCTTTCAAGTGTTATTAAAATTGTCAGAACATGTGCCATTCTTACAAATCGAGGTGATAGGATTGTTCTTACTTCTGATGGGGAAAAAGCTAGAGACTTTCAGTTTATGCAGTCATTTTAATTTTTTGTTACTGGACATATTTTTGAGGCAATGTCACAATTGTGTTTTAGTATGCAGAATAAGTTTCGATTTTAATGTAGATAATGATATATGTAAATGGACAAACTGAACTACTTTGTTAATAATGTGTGATAAACCTATTTCCATAACTACAATCGTGAAAAATGACAGACATTTTTTCACATATTTATAAATTAGAATATTCATTATATAAATGCATTTTTGTATGGCATAAAGATGACAAATAATGCATTTCTTTCATTAAATCATAATAAATTATTTTTTGCCTTTTCACTTTTTGCAATCCTTTCTCGTGCCATACCACTGAATTGGACTGATTTTTGGTGCACTCCATTTACTCATTTTGACTCGCACTCAATATCACAGTTGTAATGAGTTGTTTACACTTTTCTACTAGTTCTTCTTTTCTAATAGTAATGCTGTCTAGGTTGTGTAACAATATCATTGGCATTGGCATGAATGTTACTGACATTTGTTTGTCTTTACTAGCAAAGTTTCTTTGAATGTGTTTAGTCTGATAGAAAAAAAGTTTTGTGCCTTAATCCTTATGCAATTTTTCATTGACTCGTTGGTGTACACTCCTTGCCAAAAAAAAATGGAAAAAGAAAATATAAACGCAGTGTAGATAAATGTACACATGTTGAAAAATACACAACTTTTAGTGCTTATTAACCAAAGTTTAACAGGACTATGAAAAAATAATAACAACGAAAAATATAAAATAATGAGAATTTTTTTAAAAAAATAATTAGGATCACAAGTAATACCGACTGAAAATTTCAGATTTTGTTATAGCTTGGTTAAAGAATAAAGATTTAAGAAAAAGGTATACATTGAACAAAATATATTTGTTTTAAAAAATAAACTGTTTGTACGTCCCATTGTATCTAAGTACTATTTTGTGTGCCAGTGGTGTCACCCAACCACCTGAACCCCACCACACCTCAAACCCACCCCCACCACACCCCCAGCTTGATTATTTTTAACTGAACTATGTTTTTATAGATCTATATAGTTATTGTTTGTATTTGTACAGCATGCATACCGTTGCGTAATCGAGATGGGGGGGGAAGGAGCAGGTAAATATTTTGTGTATAACATTATGCAATTTCACTTACCAACTGCCCGGTTAGCTCAGTCGGTAGAGCACGGGACTCTTAATCCCGGGGTCGTGGGTTCGAGCCCCACATCGGGCGTCAATTTTTTTTATATATATAATTTTTCCATTGTCGCCTTTAACTGATCTTACTGGTAAATTTTAATTTTTCTGCATTTTTCTAAACTTTATTTCATCACACCATATACGAACATTTTCATCAATCACATACATAAATCATGACAACTACATTACTCAAAGTAAAGCCCAGTAAAACCCTCAATCACAACTAACAAAGTCGAAAATAATATACAAAGCGTATATTGGTATTCTTACAATAAATGCTGGTGACCTTTATAATTTTGTTCTTTAGAAAGGTCATCACAAGTAGCCTTGTTAAAGATGTTCACATTACTTTATCAAGACTTTTGAAATATATAAAGAACTTTCGAGGAAAACGATAAGATATTTCGTATATTTTCGTAAGATATTCGAAAAAAAATACCATAAATTCCCCCAACTCCCACAAATCCACCATTTTTCTAACGTAACCATGACTAATCCTTGCTTAAAACAGGAGTACGAATTTAATTTTAGCGGTATTTATTTAAAACCTCGAACCCGTTGTTAATATTTCTGCTAAGTTTAGTCAATATAGATTATGAATAATGAATAAAATCGAAATATTACCCACATATTTTCAATTAAGTAAAAATTAATTGAAACGATTGAAGTTAAAAATATTTAACCTGAAAACAGGGCCGGAATTAGGCATAAGCTAAACAAGCTACAGCTTAAGACCTGAGAGAGTATGAAGTAACTTCTCAAAATTTCAGATTTTTTTATTTGTTGCAGTTGCATTAGATGTTATATGTAGATAATACTTTAACCCATGATTTATTTTCATGATATGTTCACTTTTATTATCCATGAAATGAATTTTGTATAAATTAGTATAAAATGTGCCAAGTTCAGATGTTACACAACCTTATTCTCAGTCAACACTTGCCAAATTGGGCCTCTACAGCTTCTCATAGGTAAGGGTCTCACCATGTCTAAATCCAGTCCCGCCTAAAAACTGATTGAATCACACTCAAATGCATTTTAAATGTTCCATGTTTTTAAAATTTAATTTATACCAGGTGAATGTTGTGTGAAAATATCTTAATATCATTTATCTTTATTATCCAATCTAATTTCTCTCTACGTTTGCTCATCGCTTAAGTACTTCGGTTGATGCTGTCGTCAAATGTAGAATACAAAGATTTTACTTACTTTCAAAGTTTTTGTAGAGATTTTATTTTGTTTGTTTGTTTATCAGCGTTTTACGTTTCATAATTTCTGGTGGTGTACTTTTGCGATTAAGATCAATTACTTTCGAAAGACTTACACAAAAGAAAGGACATATATGCAGACAAAAATATATATCACTTTTAAGGAATGCGTTGTTTTACAGACATACTGGCAGTCAAATTGATACATGTTGATATATATATATATATATATATATATATATATATATATATATATATATATATATATATATATATATATATATATATATATATATATATAGAGGCCTCGTGGATCTGCTTATGATCAAAGGTGTTCCCGATTGATAAGCTCCCACATTCTTGAAATCGGGCTGCAATGATTCGGTTACTGTCAGGCTTCCAATCTGTGAATTGTTACGGCTGTTACTTTGGACATAACAATGCCCACTCCTTGCACATGCTCAGTCTCGTATCCTGAGTAGATTATGGTCGTGCCATCTTTATTTATCCTTCAGTGCCCGTTCAAAGTACTTCGCTAACTCCCACGATGTTCTTTGGGTAATTGTCGAATTCCTTAAGGAGCTGTGCCAGTCTGCCACACTGTAACAGAGTCCTTATGTTCCAGGTTACGATCCTAGAATGTAGCTTTGCTTTGAAGATTGGGCCA